GGCCACTACTGGACAAAATGACTAAACGGCCACTAGTGAACAAACTGCCTATACGGCCACTATTGGACAAAATACCTAAACGGCCATTAGTCCTCAAAATGACTAAACGGCCACTAGTGGACAAAATGCCTAAACGGCCATTAGTCCTCAAAATGACTAAACGGCCACTATTGGACAAAATACCTAAACGGCCATTAGTCCTCAAAATGACTAAACGGCCACTAGTGGACAAAATGCCTAAACGGCCATTAGTCCTCAAAATGACTAAACGGCCACTATTGGACAAAATACCTAAACGGCCATTAGTCCTCAAAATGACTAAACGGCCACTAGTGGACAAAATGCCTAAACGTCCACTAGTGGACAAAATGCCTAAACGGCCACTAGTGCACAAAATGCCTGAACGGCCACTAGTGCACAAAATGCCTAAACGTCCACTAGTGGACAAAATGCCTAAACGGCCACCAGTGCACAAAGTGCCTAAACGGCCACTAGTGCACAAAATGCCTAAACGGCCACTAGTGGACAAAATACCTAAACGGCCACTAGTGGACAAACTGCCTAAATGGCCACTAGTGGACAAAATGCCTAAACGGCCACTAGTGTACAAAATACCTAAACGGCCACTTGTTGACAAACTGCCTAAATGGCCACTAGTGGACAAAATGCCTAATCGGCCACTAATGGACACAATGCCTAAACGGCCATTAGTGGACAAACTGCCTAAACGGCCACTAGTGGACAAACTGCATAAACGGCCACTAGTGGACAAACTGCCTAATCGGCCACTTGTGGACAAACTGCCTAATTGGCCACTAGTGGACAAATTGCCTAAACGGCCACTGGTGGACAAACTGCCTAATCGGCCACTTGTGGACAAAATGCCTAATCGGCCACTTGTGGACAAACTGCCTAATCGGCCACTAGTGGACAAAATGCCTAATCGGCCACTTGTGGACAAAATGCCTAAACGGCACCTAGTGGACAAAATGCCTAAACGGCCATTAGTGGACAAAATGCCCAAACGACCACTAGTGGACAAAATGCCCAAACGGCCACTAGTGGACAGACTGCCTAAACAGCCACTATAGTAGACAAACTGCCTAAACGGCCACTAGTGGACAAAATGCCTGAAAAGCCACTAGTGGACAAAATACCTAAACTGCCACTAGTGGACAAAATGCCTAAACGGCCATTAGTGGAAAAACTGGCTAAACGGCCTCTTGTGGAGAAACTGCCTAAACGGCCACTCGTGGACAAAATGCGTAAACAGCCACTAGTGGAAAAATGCGTAAACGGCCACTAGTGGACAAAATGCCTAAACGACCACTTGTTGACAAAATGCCTAAACGGCCACTGATAGAAAAAATGCCTGAACAGCCACGAGTGGACAAAATTCCTAAATTGCCATTGGTGGTCAAACTTCCTTAGCGGCCACGTGTGGACAAATTGCCTAAACGGCCACTAGTGGACAAACTGCCTAAAAAAACCCCACTAGTGGAAAAAATGCCTAAACGACCACTAGTGGACAAAATGCCCAAACGGCTACTAGTGAACAAAATGCCCAAACAGCTACTAGTGGACAGACTGCCTAAACGACCACTAGTAGACAAACTGCCTAAACCGCCACTAGTGGACAAACTGCCTAAACGGCCACTAGTGGACAAATAGCCTAATCAGCCAATTGTGGACAAAATGCGTAAACGGCACCTAGTAGACAAAATGCCTAAACGGCCACTAGTGGACAAAATACCTAAACGGCCACTTGTTGACAAAATGCCTAAACGGCCACTTGTTAACAAAATGCCTAAACGGCTACTGATAGACAAAATGCCTGAACAGCCACTAGTGGACAAACTGCCTAAACGGCCACCAGTGGACAAACTGCCTAAAGCCCCAATAGTGGACAAAATGCCTAATCGGCCACTTGTCGACAAAATGCCTGAACAGCCCCTAGTGGACAAAATGCCTAAATTGCCACTAGTGGACAAACTGCCTAAACAGCCACTAGTAGACAAACTTCCTAAACGGCCACTAGTAGACAAACTGCCTAAATGGCCACTTGTGGACAAAATGCCTAAACGGCCACTAGTGGACAAAATGCCTAAACGTCCACTAGTGCACAAAATGCCTAAACGGCCACTAGTGGACAAAATGCCTAAACGGCCACTAGTGCACAAAATGCCTAAACGGCCACCAGTGGACAAACTGCCTAAATGGCCACTAGTAGACAAACTTCCTAAACGGCCGCTAGTGGACAAAATGCCTAATCGGCCACTTGTGGACAAAATGCCTAAACGGCCACTAATGGACAAAATGCCTAAACGGCCACTAGTGGACAAAATGCCTCAACGGCCACTTGTGGACAAAATGCCTAAACGGCCACTAGTGGACAAAATGCCTCAACGGCCACTTGTGGACAAAATGCCTAAACGGCCACTAGTGCACAAAATGCCTAAACGGCCACTAGTGGACAAAATGCCTAAACGGCCACTAATGGACAAAATGCCTAAACGGCCACTAATGGACAAAATGCCTACTGAAATTGCCACTAGTGGACAAACTGCCTAAACAGCCACTAGTAGACAAACTGCCTAAACGGCCACTAGTAGACAAACTGCCTAAATGGCCACTTGTGGACAAACTGCCTTTGCTGCCACTAGTGGACAAACTGCCTAAACGGCCACTAGTGGACAAACTGCCTAAATGGCCACTAGTGGACAAAATGCGTAAACAGCCACTAGTGGATAAAATGTCTAAACGGCCACTAGTGGAAAAACTGCCAAAAACGGCCACAAGTGGACAAAATGCCTAAGCGGCCGCTAGTGGACAACTTGCCTAAACGGCCACTAGTGGACAAACTGCTTAAACGGCTACAAGTGGACAAAATGCCTAAACCCCAAGTAGAGGCCAAAATGGCTTAAAGGCCACTAGTGGACAAAATGTCTTAACGGCCCCTAGTGGCCAAACTGCCTAAACGTCCACTAGATGCTAAAATGCCTAAACGGCGGCCGGTAGTGGCTAAAATCCGTTAACGGCCACTAGTGGACAAAATGCCTAAACGGTCACTAATGGACAGAATGCCTAAACGGCCATTAGTGGCCAAAGTGCCTAAACGGCTATTAGTAGACAAAATGGCTTAACTGCCACTAGTGGACAAAATGCATAAACGTCCACTAGATGCCAAAATTCCTAAACGGCCGGTAGCGGCTAAAATGTTTTAACGGTTACTAGTGGACAAAATGCCTAAACGGTTACTAGTGGACAAAATGCCCCAATGGCCATTAGTGGACAAAATGCCTAAAATGCCAAAACGGACATTATCGGCGAAAATATCCAAACTGCCACTAATGGCCAAAATGCCAAAGTCGCCACAAGTGGCCAAAATGCCAAATCGCCCATTAGTGGCGAAAATGGTAAAACGGCCAAGCCGCACAATAGTAGCA